TATATTCATTGTCACATTTTTTTTCGCTGTGAGCTACCATAAGATCTTGTATATATTTCTGGAACCATCAGTCTTGATCAGTGTATCAGTGTTGGGAGTTTGTGTGCCATTTTACCTCTTTATTTTTCTCATCTGTTTATTCAGTATACTTTGATTTTGTTGTCTGACGTTTGGGGAGTGGGGATAGAAAACAAACAAACAACTAAAGCTAAGTGGCAAACACGATTTAATTTTTATTTTTTTTGCAGGGGAATGAGTGAAGTGAAGTAAATTTGGCAGGAATGTGAAAAAGTTGCAATTTTCCACGGAGAGAAGGCCAAGAAAGAGATATGGGAGGGATAGCCCTCCTACTGCCAGGGCCACTGCTGGGCACTTTTATGGAGTTATCTCATTCCTCTTAACTTTTTAGATAGGGGTTGTTAACCTCATTTCAGTACTCATGACAACACTGAGGCTCAGAGAAGTTTTGTAATTTATTCCACAGCCACACAGCTGATAACCTGTAGAACCAGATCCAATGCAAAGTCTGTCTGGCTAGGAAACCTGTGTCCTCTTACTTCAACAATAGAGTATGTATAAGGTGAAATAGTGAAAATAATAACTGCAGTGTAATACTCATAACAGTAATAATGATAGTTAGCATAGTGCCTTACATATGTGATCTCTTTGAACAGGATTAAGTGAGCACATGAACAGGACTGATAGAGTGTCTGTACTTTTCATTAGTGAAACAAGCAAGGAAGAAAGAGGACATATACTTATGATTTCCTTTGGTTTACTTTGTTTTCTGAAACATAATTGAAAGACTCAGTTAGTTTTGCAGCATTTATCAGATTATTTTGTTCTTGATGTGGATGGATAGGTTGGTGTGTGTGACTGTGTGAAACTGAACCTGATACAGTCAGAAGATCTCTTCCAGTGGATAAGTATGCCTTTTGGTTTGATACTCAATTTTGTAGTGATCACTGTTCCTGTTTACTGAATGGGAGTTTTAATCTGTACTCTGGTCTTTTCCCTGTTGAAGCTGAATGTCACATACTCATTTCTTTAGCGGGGGAAGCGGGGGGTGTCCATGAAAGAAGTTATGTTAACCCCCACAGTACAAGGTTGTATTCCTTGGAAAATCAGTAACCACTCATTTTTACACATAAAAAACCCCAAATTAATTTCTGATGACTAATTTTATATTAGTCTGCAACCCCAGTTTTAGTATTAGGCTCAATTCTCATATTTGGAAGGCAATACCTAATTCTGTAATACTGTGTAAAAAAAAGGTGGTGTCAATTTATAAATAATTACTGTCTCCTAATGAATTAATGTTCATTTGCCATGATCATTTCAATACAAACTTAGGTAAAGATATGTTTCGGCTCCAAAACTGGGTTCTCTGTATTTAAAAATGTCATTCTAATTCGCAACTCCCTATAGCTTACTACGAAAGAACTATTTATTTTGCCATTCAGCCTAAAAATAAAACCTCTCACCCAGACTACACTCCTTAAAAGCCACATTTTTTAATCTACATAATTTTAAATTAACTTGAAAGAATCCATTTCTAGGTGCAGTGAAGTCAAACAAGAGTTGGAACTGGGACAGTTTGAAAGGAATAATTTAAAAGCCCACCACTCTGCTCGGAGACACCTCAAGAATTTCTAGGCTCACAAGGGAAGAGAAGGAAGAGATCTAAAAAGCTGAACAGTGCCTCTCCTTTCGAACCCCCGCGGATGCAGGCCAGGCCGGCTGCGGCAAGGGCCGCGAAGAGTTAACGAGGGACGGAGCCCCCCGCGCCGCAGACTCCCCGCGCACACCCTCCTCCCTCCTGTCCCCACCCTCTCGTTTTGGCAAGGGATTAAAGTGCTCCCCCCTGTGGCAGCAGTGACCCAGAAATGAGTTTGATTCACACAGTCCTTCCTCCATAACAAGTCAAACGCCCGTCTGAGAGTGCCTCCCTGCGCGAGCGCCGGGTGTGTGTGCGCCGGCGAGAGCAGGGGCCCGCCCGGCTCTCCGCCCGCCAGCCCGTCCGTCCGCTCGCCCGCCGCGGCCCGAACTCATGCTGCGCGGAGCAAGCGGCGAGGAGCCCAGCGCCGCGGGCCGAACC